GAGGAAGTCAATTACACTGCACTGCGGACACAAAGAAATTGAGCATGTGTTGCCAAAACGGTGCGTAAAGTATAAAATAATATTTAAAATGCATTTAAATTATGTTTGAATAATGGCAAACATCTAACTGTATAATTAAAATACATTGTTGTAAATATTTGGTGCATTTTATTAAAAAATAATCATTCAAAGCAAAGCATGTGGACATGGAATGTGGCCACACACAAAAAAAGAATCACTGAGCTGTAGAAGAAGATGAGGGGCAGAAAGATCCATGTCAAGTTTTGTATTTGGGAATACGGGAAATGTCACCGTCCGTGGTAACATAAGAGCCCATCTTGAGGTAAACTAGCTTTCCTCTTAGTTTTTCTTTATTTTTCCTGAAACATTTAGCGAGGATTGCTAATCGGTTCATTTTTGTAGCGTTGTGTAGCTCGAAGAAAAACATAAAACATGCACATCTGTCTGAGTAGTGCTGACCCGCTGGTTGCGCTGCATGAGTGAGTTTGCTGTGGAGCTTAAAGCTAAAGCAGATGACATCGGGTCAGTGAAAAGAAAGACCTCAGCATAGCGTTTTCCCCCTCTCCCCATAGGAAAGTAATTGTTCCACAGCCTTTCCTGGCATTCGTTGGGAAGCCAGTGTGGTGCCATGTCCCATATCATCTGCCCACAAGCTTGTTGAGAGCAAAACCTGTCTGCAGGGGGCTTTAATAAAGGAGGACCACCCCTCAAGGCAACAACGATTCTTACCCTGAACTGCTACGCTGTGGAAAAGCTGCACAAAGCTGCATTGTCTTACCCTCGATTTCACGGGGAACAATTAGCAAGCACCCACCTTAATGTTCTGATTAGGACGTTTATTAGTTTTACTATATTTTAATGGCTGTTAAACTTCCTGCTAATGGCTCCAGTCGAATAATCTGGAAGTATCCAAACACCAAAATCGCGGGTGAAAAAGTTCAAAGACATATACTTTGTCTATCCTCTGACATATATTGCTCCCGAGTAGGATCAAACAAATGGACTCTGATGAATTTATGTGGCTGTAAAAGAGGGTTTGGGGGTGAGCATCTGGGCCCAATCTTCACTGCTGCATGTAATGAGGATCTCAGAGCTTTGTTCTTTTCTCGAGGAGAGAAACGGGCCAGGTAGGGGGCCCTGCAGCTCAGGTAAACCTGTGCATGTGTCTCGCTGCTAATGGGAAACATTAGTGTAGTGGCTGTGGAGAATCGGGGCTCTGTGGCTGAAACAGAAGTCCCATCATCGGTAGTCGTTAAGTCCACGAGGCTGCGGATCACCGGGACCAGGCCCAAAGCTGGTGGGTTTTCACAAAAACATAAGCTTGGTGTGAAGTGTCAAACCAAATGTGGCATCATTTGTTTTACACAGCGCAACTGGAGCTGCTCACCGCTCAGTGCGGTTTGTGTGCCAAAGGGTGCCAGTAGGTCGTTGAAATCTTCCGAGACTGCACAATGCACACAAACCACGCAGCATGTGTTGTTTCTTCCTGGAAATAAACTGAGCAAACAGTAGCTGCACTGTCATTAGCGCAACTTCAAATTCCGAAAATGAATTTGCTTAGAGGTGGCAATTTCCAAAATATATTGAAAAACTTGATGTAATGTGGCAGAAAAATGTTGATTGCATCCACTTGACAGAGTGAGCAGAGATTTGATCCGAGCAGAGACAAATTTTGAGCACGAGGAGAAAAGTTTGAGTATTTGAAAGAGAGCAGAAATTTTGTATACAGGCATTACAAGTTTTGAGAAGAAAGACATGAAATCCTGCTTTCAGACTGAAAATGTTTGCTCTGGAATTATGGCTGAAAAATTCCCTCATATGAGGTATTTTTTCGGACCACATCAGAATTGACATATTGCTTTTATTTTCCCAGAAAGCCTTGCACTGCAGCGCGCTTCCTGCTTTTGGGGCGGTCTCCGGCCCGTTTGGCATTCACATAGGCATTCGAACTGTGCCAGAGTTCACGTCAACCGAACCGAGACCCGGGTTTATAAGTGGATCGGAGTTTGTTCTTTGAGTTCAATTACCCAATCACGAACTGGACTCTAGGCAAAACAGCTTCAGCCTGCGAGTAACAGTCTAATAGACTGCTAAATTAATGGCATCTCAATAAGTTTGCAACATAGCAGTCCTGCACAAACAGTGGCTGAACATTAAAGCCAATTGGAGTTAAAGTAAGAATGCAGAAATCCTGAAGCAAGTCACATCTTATCCTTGGAAGACTGATCAGATTCTGCGCTTTGGCAGCTTAAAAAGTTTCAGGCAGGTGTGTCCGCCCTGTGGCTTAGATGAGTTTAAGCTAATAGAAGTCTGATCAAACCCTCGGATGATTTGATGTCATAAGAGAATCTGCTTTCTTCACACAACACGGGTTGTGTTGCCAATACACCTTAGAGGAATCTCTACTGGCCCTGCGACAGCAACACAAAACCCTTCCAGCCCCCAACAAACAACACAAACCTAGCAGGTCTTTACCATTAAATTTTTAAATGTCAAAGGTTAAGGGTTACTCGGCCTTTGCTGGTAAGTAATTTCTAAAGCACTTAGTAAGGCAGAAAAATTTGGCCTTCAGCAAATAACTAAGCCTTCTGTTGTCTGAAATGTACAAAAATTCTGCACGACACTCAGACAACTGCATCTTTCACAGATTTCCAAGAGGAGACAAGTCAAAGTAAATGTCTCTCTGTTTGGATGTTTTTGTGTGAAACAGGTTTACCTCCGGTTACTTTTGCTGTCCAAAACAGCCCCTAAAACATGTATTTACTGGATGCAAGTCATTTTTCTTCCCCTAAAAAATATGGAAAACCTGTGCAATGTTCATTGCATGGGTTTGTGCAATAAATATTTAAGTGGATTTATATGCAAAAGGTCAAAGGTTGCTTGACTTTTGCTGTAAATGATCTAGATTCTGAAGTCTGTGATTCTGAGACTCTTTGGTGTTGAAGCATCTGATGGACATCACAGGCTTGACCCTCCCAACAGATTCCTTATTGGACAAACAGGTCGGCAGGTAACGCATTCAACTTCGGACTCGTCATAATTAGTTTTTGAAAGATCCTGGTGCGATCAACAACTACAAATACATGCAGTGGATAAGAACTGTTTGGGTTCTTCTGGTTTTTGGGGAGGATTCTGGGATGGCACGGATCAGGAGAGGTAAGCGATTATCTTGGTAGTCGAACGATCCACAGGTGACAAAATGATGAAGTCGGGGAGCTTGCAGGTCACGGAATGTTTCTTCCAGCTGGTGGTTGGGAAGTGGATGAAGGAGTGTTGGAGGGCAGATGGGCAGGTGAGTATAAGACCCACTTTTTCTCACAAAGACAGTTTTTTTTTCTCTCGCTCCAGTCTGTTTCTCTGATGAACACAACAAACACTTTACAGCCAGAACTACTCTACTGTGAAACCAAATAAGCATACTTGCACTACCACAATCTGCCTTCTTTTTCAAATTTTCTTGCTGTACATACACATGCATATACGTTTTGTTTTATTCATTCTTCATTTTGTATGTATGCTTTGGGTGTTTTCACATCTGGTAATCCGGTGCACTCAGTTCGATTGAAGACTAAAGTTGCAACATTTGTTCCATTTTCAGCTGGTGCAGCTCTCTCGCACTCTGTCCTGTCGAAGAAATCAAACCCTTTGAATAACTTGTTCACCTCCTCTGAAAACACGGGTCTGTTTTGTTGTATTTACCCAGAAGTCCCTGCACTATAGTCCACTTCCTGCTTTTAGAGCGGTCTCCAGTCCGCTTGGCGTTCACAAATTCATTTGAGCCACATCAGAGTTCATCTCAACTGAACCAAGATCTTGACCTGAAGGTATACAAGGTTTGCTTTGTTTTGGTCTGCATTAGAGCTTGAATATCCTCTCACATCTCGCCAAACAAGCAAAGCTTTTTATACAAATGAACTCAACTTAAGTTGGCCAAACGGCTAGTGAGAATGCACCTGCATACATTTAGCTCTATGAACAGACGACTAGTTCTTGTTTGTGCAAACAATCTTGGCTAGTGAAGCTGAATCTGATTCTTAACACACTTCCATACAGAATAGTTGCCCTCCAGCAAGTAACTCTGCACCTTTTTATTATTGTAAAACTATAAAAATGATCAATAAGGACTACTGGTAAATACTTCATCTTCAATAACTGATGCAAGAGTAGATGAGGTGAACTACATCCCTCTTCGTGTTTCTTCAGGTAAATCCGGTTTTCCGAGATGGCCCCAAAACAAGCATTTACTGGAAATCATTGTTTGTGTTGGATTTTCTCACCAAGCAGGTTCGTGCAATGAAGACTTTATCGAGTTCAAATGTTAAGGGTCAAGCTTTACTCAACCTTTGGTGGTAAATAATCTAGAAGTAGCCTTCAGTTAATAACTATGGATCTTTTGCCTCTGTAAATACAGGAAATCACCTTGGTGGACTAACTAAGCAGAACTGCACCTTTTTATACCAAAAACTAAGTAACATACATTCAACATTATGATGAAAAATGCTTTATCTAAAATCTATTAATGTAGCATTTTCTTCCTGTGTTAGCATGGGGACTCTGGTTCTCCAAAACAGTCACAGGACAACCATGTTTGGTTGAAACTCTAAATTGAGTGGTGGATGGATGGATGGATGGATGGATGGATGGATGGATGGATGGATGGACTTAAAACCAAATATATCTTGGTAGCAAGTTACTTGTAAGTTAGTTTTGTCTTTATAGTGTCCTAAAACATTTGCACTAGAATAGACAAAATACTTGGTCAAATGTTGTGCTTTTGCAGTGAAGACAGAGTTTGCAGAAAGAGTTTGCCAAACTGTTTTTCTACATACCAGTGAATATATTTAAATGAAAAACTAATGTAAGGAACAATTGTAAACCATTTTATTTTTATTTAACTTTTCTTTAACTTTTTATTTAACTTCTACAGTTACAGGAACAAGTGTCGGAATAACCTATTTTCTTTCTTTTTTTTTTTTTTTTACTGTACCATGTCAGAATATTTCATAAATTTTTTAAAGTCTTATAGAGCGCTCTCAGACAGGACGTCGGTCTGACGCAGAGCAGTAGGTGTGTTAAACCGGTGCGGCCCCTTCTGTTTGGCAGAACGTTCATAAATCTGCGCCCAGCCAATGGGGAGGCGCGTGGTAATCCCAGCCGGGTGAGAAAAGACCCGGTCGCGAGTTCCGTGGATCTTTAATCCGCAGAGAGGAGACGGCGAGGGGACACGGTCACGACTAGTGGCTGCTGCTTCTGGGGGATGTCCGCTGGCTTTTGAGCAGAACTTCCCAAACTACGAGCCGCGTTCTGGATCTTTCTGCGAAGGGAAGCGACGCTCGAGCCGCTGCCGTTTCAACTCTCCCACCGCCAGTCCCAGCGCGCGAGAGGAGCGCTCGTGCCCCGCAGCAGCGCCCGTCGAGCCCCGGTCGTCATGTCGTCCGGTGACGCCCCGGAGCAGAGCCGGAGGTTCAGCGTCCTGTCTTGGGATCAGGTGCGCCGCTTGGACTCCATCCTCGGGGAGAGCGTTCCTATCCACGGCCGCGGGAACTTCCCCACGCTGTCCGTGAAGCCCCGGCAGATCATCCAGGTGAGTTTGTGCTTTTTTTCTTCTCTTTTTCTTCTTCTTCTTCTTTTTTTATGATAAAGTTGGAAAAAGAATATGTGGAGAGCCGGCCCGTAATTCAGCAGGACCCTGATTCAAAACTGGCCCCCGACCCCCCATTTCCAGTTCGAATTATTTATTCACTAAAAAGGAATAAATAAAGTGCTCACTTGGTCATATAAAGCACTGCGGAAGTTAGACAGTCCAAACATAAATCAACTAGTTCCAGCAAGAACGATTCAGACTTCGACAATAAGTGATAACATTGTAACTATTAAACTAAAATTATGTTCTGTGATTACTAGGACGGATCACAATGTTTACTGTTGATCTTCAGAGGATCAACAGTAAACGTAACACTAGGAGTGCCATACTGCATATTTTGGTGCAGAGCCAATACTTCTTGTTGTTTAAGTTTGATATATCATCATTATATAAGTGAAATAATCTGCCAGTGGAACTAAAACTTTTTCATCAATATTAAGGGATTATTACCTTAAAACAAGCTCCTAAATCTTTCTGAAAAATGACTTATAAAACTGCCATCAAACTGCCAGGTCAGTTTGATGATTATTTTCTGATTTTGTGAAGACCAAGGACAGAATTTGGACCAAGTTCATGGGCGTCTACAGAATAGTTCAAAGTGGAGGGAGGTGTTATGCCAAACTGACTTTATATATTATAATGTTATGGAACAGGTGATGGCAGACTTCCATCCATCCATCAATTGTCCTCAAGGGGGTGCTGGTGCCTATCTCCAGCTAACAATCCGGGTCAGAGGCGGGTCACCCTGGACAGGTCGCCAATCTGTCGCAGGGCAACACCGAGACAGACAGGACAAACAACCACACTCACGCTAAGAGAAAATTTAGAGAGACCAAGTAACCTGGCAGTCTTATCCATTTAAATGTTCTCTTTGAATCAAACCATTCTGGAGTGTCGCTGTGTCTTTCTTTCATGTATGTTTGAGAAATCCTTCAGTCTCCCATGGCAACCATTCCGGGGTGCCTTTGCTCTCATAAAGCTCTGTCTGTTTCCACAAAGCTCCTCCCCGGAGCTGAAGTCTCCAGCTGAGCTTCTGCCTCACAGAGCTAAACTCCCCCACTCAGCTCCTTCAGACTAGTGGCAGCAAGAATTGGCAAACTCCTGGAGGAGCAGGAGGTCCTCCAGGAACATCTGTATGATGTACATTGTACGTCATACACCATACATCATTCATCCATGTAAATAATTTGAAACGGTTAAAGTCCAGACTGTTTCTGCCTGAGAGGCCAAGTGTTGTTGGCACCGCCTGCTGGCCTGAAGGAGAGGTGGCCTCAGCGGCAGCTCAATTTGATTATACCTGGGGCTGGCTCTGATAATGTGTATGACTGTGACATAGTCGGACTTGCAAATTAAAGCTTCAGTTCATGCAACACATTTATTTACTTCCTGAAGATTAACGTATCTCCAATTTATATTAAGTGCAACACTCTCATTGACATTCATTTTGTCAGTTGCTCTATTGCATAGAGTTGGTGTATTATGTCCATCCATTCCAAGCATATTAATTCTTATTTGAAAGTGCTGTTTGGATGACACTTCTCTGTTAATCAGCTGTTCTTTTCTCTTTCACTGCAAAAGTACAAAATGGTGTGATGTAATTTCTCATGCAAATATCTGAGTTTGCATGAAATAAGACAAAACTAAAGTTTTGTCTTATAACTTTACAGCAAGATATAGAAACTATTTTAGGTCCATAAATCCTTAATATTGATGAAAATGTGCTAGATTATATCATTTATAATGAGATGTTATATAAGTGAAATAATCTGCCAGTGGAACTAAAACTTTTTCATCAATATTAAGGGATTATTACCTTAAAACAAGCTCCTAAATCTTTCTGAAAAATGACTTATAAGTTAGTTTAGTCTTATTTCAGGTGTACTAAGGTATTTGCTCTAGAAACTAGACCCAAAATACTTGGTAAGCCTTTGTGTTTTTGGAGTATAGGACACATTTAACTGCTCACGCTAGTAACACAGACATGTCAGTGGGGATGAGCTAACTCTGTGACTGTGGTTTTCCACTAGCTCACTTTTCCTCCAGTTCTTTTCAGATAATTTGATTTACTGGATAAGGAAAAGCCTGCGCTGCCGTTGTTAATGGACGTCCTTCAAGTGGTGCTTTAATCTGCTGAATAATTCACTTTAGAAAATTCATATTTTCAGAAGTCATCCTGTCGGAGCGGGTTATGAAGGGGGTGAGGGATACTCCTGTGCAAACACACATGTGCTTTAAAGGGCTCTGCCATCAAGCCAGCATCTGCTCCCATCAGCCCCCCCGCTAGTGTATTTCCTTCATTATACAGTCCTGTAGGCAACGGAGACTCCAAGCAGTTCTGTTTGCATGAACCGTTGCATTTTTTTTTTTAATGGACCTCTTAGAGAGAGCAGCTTTCGAAAAATTCACCCACCACTTCCCTCACGTGTTCCACAGAGGCAATCTGTTGCTGCTGAAAAGCCCAATGGGACTTTTGTTGCGTTTCTGGTGCAGTTTTCTTTTTGTTTGTTTTTGGAAGGTGTAGGAGTTTTTTGGTTTTTTTTGAGAAAGGGTGAATAAAACACATAGTGATATGTTGTTAAAGTTGCCAGGTCACCGAAGAAATGTTCCAGATAAAACAATTTGAAAATTTGGTTTAATGCAGCTCGAAACGGTCTTTGGTGTCACAGCCGCAGATTAAGGTTTATTCATTTTGATTACCACAAAAAGTCAGAAATTTGATTAATTAAAACTTAATTTTAAACACGTCCTGCTGTCATATACATGTCAAAGTTCAGAAAGCTGATTTGTGATTTGGCGCTTTAGTTGTTCTTCCACACACATCAGCTTTCTTGCTCTACAGGTGTCGAAGTCTCCTTAAAGAGACAGCTCAGAATTATTTGAAGCAAGGTTTTAATAAAAGATAAGAAGCAGTAAATTTCTCACCTGCTGTAGATTTCACTCTTGGTGTCTTTAATTAGTGGCAATTCAGATTAGCTGGTGGACAACGTCATAGGAGTTTATGAGAATTTTATGAGCCTTTAAACTGTCATTATATAAGCATTGGGTGTTTATTTATCCACAAACTAATAATTATTTACACAATTAATGGAGGGTGGAGGCGGTGCACCACCAATTATCTTCCTATGTGGAACACACACTGAACACACGCACACTAAAACATTCCAATCAATGATTCACTTTTTATATTTGTATTTGTTTATTTATTTGTTGGGCCTCTTAAAAAATAAGAGGCCCAACAAAAAAATAAAGGGAACACTCAAATAACACATCCTAGATCTGAATGAATGAAATAAATATGAAAATAATTTCCACCTGTTGTCTATTCCATTTGCACAACAGCAGGTGATATTGATTGTCAATCAGTGTTGCTTTCTAAGTGGACAGTTTGATTTCACAGAAGTTTGATTTACTTGGAGTTATATTGTGTTGTTTGAGTGTTCCCTTTATTTTTTTGAGCAGTATATATATGGATATAAAATGTATGAATCGCTGTGAAACTGCAGACCAAATGATTGGTTGTATTGAACAATATAGCACATTGCTCTGACACGGGCAGCCAACAGCGTATGTCCACAGGTTACCAACAACGTCAATCTCTCCAATCAGAAGCCTTCACAGTCTGGCGCCATAGCTTTTCTGACCGTTTTTGTCCTTTGTTAAAATACGCTAATAGAATTAGCTTGTGTGGATATCTCAGTGAGTAACTCCGTTTGTTTGTAGCAACTTGCTGCTGGCTTTTTGAGAAGTTGGCAGTCGATTTCAAGACAAAAAGAAAAAATAAATAAAAGTCCTCCCCCCCTGTTTGCCTTTGGCGTGGAAATTTTGTTCGGAAACGATTATGAAGATGGACTGCACCTCTTTTTATGGTGGGAGCAGGTGCTCGCTAATCCAAATGAATTGTCCCGGATTGATAAAAACGGAAAGAACACAAAGTTCGGAACGGCACAAAACCATCAGAAAATTCAACAAAGCCACATGTGCGCACAACTTCAAAGTCGAAAAGATTCATTGAAAGTTCTGATCCTCAGTTTCATGGACACCCTCATATTTCTAAATTAAAAACACAGTCTCAAATCAATGAAGTAATCCACAAAATCTGTTCATTTTAGATTTTGGCTTAGTGTTGCCCAACCTTCTCCTCTGTTTCAAAGACTCTATTCTTAATCGAATCGGAAGAACGGAGAAAGTATGAAAATCCATTTCCTGGTTCAGACTCCAGAGATGACATCTTGGCCGCCTCTTGACTTTTTAGCAGCCTTTGGGCTTCTGTTGTTTAATCTTTCATACATGGTTTTTGTTTTTTACAGAGCTAGTAAAAAACTTTACTATTTCTCCTGTTTTCAATTCTGTCTACAACTGCTGGGGAAATTAAGCTTTTAGGAAATATTTCCTTTGAAAGTAACAGAAACTGAAGTTCCCAAGATAAGAGCGACCTGTCTGTCAAGCACTTAACCTCAGGCTTTTTTTTCTAATTTTTTTTAAAACCAAATTTATATGTATAAATCAGAATTACTGAATGATGTCACTCTGTATTTTTAGCCATGGCTATCATATTGTAAGAGTTTCAAACTGGCCCATTTCGATTTCAAGACAAAGTAAGACATCCTAACGCCACAATTATGCACTTTAAGTTCCGGTAACTTAAAAATAAAACTGAATGCATTTTGCACCAATGATCCGAAAACAACAATAATTAGCCCTATTCAATGTTATCCGGACATTTCACTCACCTGAGGATGCTGGATGCTTGAAACTTGTGTCATTCCTTCCTTTCTGGTTAATTCGGCTAGTTGTTAAGTCAACTAACCGGTGGCGTTTATTCAGCATCATTTTTTTTTTCAAAATGCCAGCCCACTTGACAAAATACAAGACAGCAGGACAGCAGGTTAATAAATGTACAAGGTCACACAGTTGGTTTGTATAGTGGTGTGAAAAATTGT